TTTCCAACTGCAAGCATGGACCATTCTTAATTGTTGGACCATTCTACACTTTAAAAAATACCAGTGGCCAGAACCTACTCCTTCATCCCAGCAAATACACTTGAGATGAAAGAGAAAAAAAGAGATGAAGTGAGAAATTCAGCCCAAAAGGTAAAAAAAACACCCAAAACAGCTCCCCATAGTATTAGCAAACAAAATTAAAGTATCACTGCATCACATTAAATCTACTAAGTAGATACCTTTGCTTCCTGAAGCTCCTTATCAGCAGTATTCAACAGCAATTCATTTTCCAGCTGCTCAGATAGCTTGCCAATTACAGCAAGTTGTTTATACAGATGATCATTTTTACAGGTGAATCTATCCACTTGATTTTCCACGAGTTGCCTCTTATCTAACAACTGTATGACATGTTGCCTTAGCTCATGGTTTATCTCCTTCAGATCTTCAATCTATGAGGACAAGCAGAAAGAAAGTATTTTACTTCATCTTCAAGTATTTGCAGGGAATATTTCATAAAAAGTAATCTATGTTTAAAAATAAAATCAGTATATATTATTCACAAAGAACACGCACACTACTAACAATATTTTAAACAGATTCATTTTTAAGGGTTTTAGACAATGGAGACTCAAATAAAATAAAATAAATACATACACTTAACATTTATGCTAAAAACTGCCTCAAGCTAGGCTGCCACTACAGTTATTCTCCTATAGTACTGTGAGAGGAAACGTGTCTCCAGGCCTGGTCTCAAGTTCCCAATAGTTACTCACCATGGTTGTCTTATTAGGAATGCCCTTCAATCCTCTTCTTTGAATTGTGCCTGTATCCTTCAGGCATACTGCACAATGGCCAGCAGAAATTTAGCAGATCAACCATTATTATGAATTTATAATTTGATTAATCAATATAAGATTAATAATTTCCCTGAAAGAATGTTGTCTTTTTAGAAAAATATTATATGGCCTTTTTGTAAGAAACCAGAAGCTGATAACTTAGCATAACACCTCAGTCTACAGGAGCATTAGTAGCCTCATGCAGCTTTTCAGTTTCCTGAGTCCTCATGTCTACAATCCCAGCCCAATCAATGAATCATTGCCAATGAATACATAGCAATGCAGAAATTCCAAGTGAAAAAATCTGGGTCAACCACAATTCTGCTGTTCCAATGATGCCTGCTTTTCATGGTGGGAACAGGAGCACTAATGATGGCAGGAAGGCTAAATCCTACTCTGCATCTGAACGTACAAATCACACTTAAAATTACAGAATTGAAGTCAGAGTCACATCTACACCCTCAAGCAGCTGACTTCATCAGAAGTGGTTTTGTTGCTCCATACAGCCAACCTGTATATCTTAAGGGTCTTTTCAACCTAAATGATTCTATGATATTCCCCCCTCATAAACTGGATAACCAAGAAAGTTCTAGCAAGCACTCAAGAGATACCACATTTAGACATCAAAATTAAGAGTTCTTCAAGAAAATACCATTCTAGCAATTTACTCTGCTTTGTACAGACAGGAATTATAATTTGAGCACCTTAACTAATTAGAGTTGTGCTTACAATGCTATAGTATGAAAGCAGTCCATAAGCACACAAAATCACCCATCACTTAAGACTCAAAACTCTATACCACACTATCAAAAAACACTCATAGCCATAAAAAAATAAAGTGCAAACAACCTTTTCTCCTGCCATGTCACTGCATTGTGCTCTAAACATGACAACTTGTTGCCTCAAAATGAACTGGAGAGGAGAATGCTACATTTTAACTCTTAAAAAAGATGACAAAATGCATCTTTTTGTATTTCAGCTCTATAAAAATAGAGGAAATACATGATAACAGGAAACATGGACATAACTTATGAATTATATCTATCAGCATCCTCTCAAATATAGAGCATGGCCAAAAACATTTGCAAAGGTGTTCAAATGTCATTCAGTTCAGCTGAACATGGGGATTTGGAGCTAGTTATCATCAACTCACAGTACTGCTGCTTATATTTCCTTACAAATCCACAAACACCTTGGAATACAAGATGAAAGAGGAAGAAGGAATGCTCTCCAGCAGCTTTCTCAGATAACTATGATAAAATAAGGTCGCTGGAATAAGTCCCACAGCAAAAGATGAACAAGCCACAGCAAGACAAGGTGAGTGGCAAGCACACCAGCACCTCACAGGGCTCTTTAGTGCCTGACAGGCTGCTCTTGTTACAATATGAGAGTAGCCCACAGGTCTAACAACAGAATGTGAATAGTTAATTACCCATCAGCAGGAAATTATTGTCACCAGCATGACCACAACAGTTTTTCTCCATGCTCAGATTCAAAAGCTTCAAGGAAATTTAGGGCAGCTGGTTTAGCGAGTTATTTCCCTACCATTCAGCCTCATCTGAATCAAATCTCTGCCACTTATTATCAGTCTGGCCATCAGCCTCAAGGAGTTTTTAAGCACCAGTATAAGTTATAGTTTTGTCGTAAGTTGACTTAATTTGGAAAATCTACAAAGAGACACTTCAGAATGTGATTCCTGTGATCAATTTTAGGCATTCATCCTAAATTTAATCATGCCCTACGAGTACCTCTGACAATAAAGGCAGCCTAGATGCCTCCATTACAGTTATCAACACCATTAATGCATCAAATTAGACGAGGTGATCCCCATCCTAATATTCTGTTCTCTCTGAAAGAGGCACTCACAAATTTCTTCAGTTATATGCACTGTGCCAGTCTTTCCAGGAAGGGAAAAGAACAAATCAAGGTAATTGGCAAGTTCTCAGTATCTTAAGTACCTCACTGAGCACTCAAATTTACAGGGGGAATATACAGTATTTGCTCACTCATAAATCTACTTTCATTCAACTTAAATAATTTTTTTGAAAAACGTTATAATACTTAGCATAGAATCACAGGACGGTTTGAGATGGAAGGGACCTTAAAGATATTCTAGCTCCAAACCCCCTGCCACGGGCAGGGACATCTTCCACTAGACCAGGCTGCTCAAAGCCTTATCCAACCTGTCCTGTCCTTGAACACTTCCAGAGAGGGGGCATCCACAACTTCACTGGGCAGCTTGTTCCAGTGTTTCACCAGCCTCACAGTAAAGAACTTCTTCCTAATGCCTAATATAAATCTACCCTCTTTCAGTTTAAAACTGTTACCTCTCATCACATCACTACATGCCTTGAAAAAGAGTCCCTTCTCATCTTCCCTTTGCCCCCCCTTTAAGGCCCCTAGAAAGCTGCTATAAGGTCCCCCTGGAAATCCTAAAATAACTCTCATTAATGCTTGCCATAAAGAGCTGCGATGTAACCACCGCTGTTGCTATGTTTGATTACATCCTCTGAGGTGCGATAAGGCAAGCCCCGTGCAGCTGAGACGAAGCATCACACCAGGACCACGCCAAGCTCCGTGTAGCACCGAAGACACTCGCAGCATCACCAAAAGCACTCAGAGCTCGTCGACTTCTTGGACTGCTTAACCACCCCAAGCC